ATGATACGGCGCACGATAGACTACTGAAATCTGAACCAGTGAACTAATGCATTGATGTTCATGAGCTTAGTGCGGTTGACATGGTGCAGAGTCGAGTTCGTGATGGGTTCGGGTTTACGTGCAGAAAGACTTTCTGCACTTTCTGGGAAAGTTGACTATACTGACAAACTCGAATACAAATGAGTCCACCACACGCTCCAGTATTCACATATCAAATCATGAGATCACAAAGAACCATGGATAGTTGAAAACAAGTGAGCCATAACGAACTACTGTGCAGCCTTACGGAAGTTCTTCCCAGCATAAACAGCCGCCGCGACAAGCTCTTCCTCGATGCGCATGAGCTGGTTATACTTGGCCAGTCTTTCAGAACGGCACGGGCCGCCAGTTTTGATCTCGCCAGTACCCAATCCCACAACTTAATCAGAGATGGAAGTGTCCTCGGTCTCGCCTGAGCGGGTGGAAACCATGACTCCTCATACTTGGGCCGCTACCACATCGCTGGCCTCAATAGCCTCAGTAACCGAGCCGATCTGATCGACTTTCGACAGGAGAGCATTGCATGCCTTCTCTTCAATGGCCTCCTTGACGCGCTTAGGGTTGGTGACAAGCAGATGATCGCCGACTATTTGGACATGACCACCACACTCAGCTTCGAACTTGCTGTAAGCCGACCAACCGTCCTGGTCGAAGGGATCCTCGATTGAGACGGATGGATAAGAGTTAAACCAGTTCTTATAATATTCGATCATCTCCTCAGCACTCTTCTGCTGAGAACTGTCCTTATTTGGGTTCTTGAAATCGAGATCGTACTTGCCGTCCCCGGTAAGGTATAATTCCGAAGCTGGGACATCAGTTCCCAACTTGACATTGTCCTCGTGACCAGCATCTATGATAGCCGCCATGAGCACATCCAAGGCCTCGTTATTGTCCTGTACAGGCACCGCGAATCCACCCTCGTCACCAACATTAGTGGCGACCTGACCGTACTTAGCCTTAGTGACCTTCTCGAGACTGTGATAGACCCCGGCTCCGATTTGCATGGCATCTTTGAACGAGGTGGCCCCGACAGGAAGGATCACGAACTCTTGACAAGCAAGGCGGTTACCTGCGTGGGATCCACCGTTGATAACGGGAAAAAGGCCGGAACAGGCATCGTGAATTGGTCGGTGCGCTTCCTCGAGATATCAGCTATGTGTTTATACACAGGGATATTCTGAGCAGCGGAACCGGCACGGCAAGCAGCCATGGAGACGGAAAGGATGGCGTTGGCACCGAGCTTGGCCTTGCACCAGCCCCACTGGTTCTGGGTACCGTCCAACTCCTCAACCATCAACTTATCGATACCAGCCTGGTCGGTGACATCCTTGCCGATGAAAGCGGGGGCGATGATATCGTTGACATTCTTGATGGCTTTCAGGACACCTTTACCGACATCTCGAGCCTTATCGCCGTCCCTGAGCTCAAGAGCCTCGTAGATGCCAGTAGAGGCCCCAGAAGGCACTGCTGCACGGAACATGCCTCTGTTGGTGGTGAGGTGGGCTTCGACTGTCGGGTTTGCCGCGAGAGTCAATGATCTAGCGGGCACGGATGGAGACGATTTTGGAAGCTATTCGAGGATGAAGGGCGTTGAGCTCGTTCAACGATTCTTTGTGGACACTGCATTTACACGGCAATGTGATAGATTGAACACGGCAATGTGATAGATTGAACACGGCAATGTGATAGATTGAACACGGCAATGTGATAGATTGAACACGGCAATGTGATAGATTGAACACGGCAATGTGATAGATTGAACACGGCAATGTGATAGATTGAACACGGCAATGTGATAGATTGAACATGGCAATGTGATAGATTGAACACGGCAATGTGATAGATTGAACACGGCAATGTGATCAATCCCTGAATCTACGATTGAATATCATCCAAGCCCTGAGTAAGACGTAGATCAATCTCAGCAACCTAAATAGTAAGAGCATACTGTGATACGGTCAAAGCAATGTTAGATCGAATCAGCGGGTGAAAGTAAACAGGCTAATGGGTGGAGATGAACCTACTCTATTTCACTGCATTAGAGACGCTTCATTTTAGTAGATACATAACGCATCGTTGGCAGGGAATCATCCAGAAACCTATAATGTTACTGGGAAGAACTCGTTTTAAGTCCTTACATGGCTAGGCACACAATCTTCAATCAGTTTCCCGTGTGATTATCATCACACTAGAAACATTTTCCTCGTTGTTACCAAACCCTGGGGCCTATTTCACAAGCGTCCTAACGTTAGGTAAGGAAAATCTTGTGAAATAGCCTTAGTTAGGCAAGGACGTCCTAAGGTTAAAATCCTATACGTAAAGACGTCCTAATCTAAGGACTGTACCAAAATCGATATCTCACTGCTATAACTAGATAAGCCAACTCGACTCCAGCTCTCGTAGTATACCAGCTAACTTAGTGATACGGTAGTGGCCCTAGCCAGTTGTAGGGTATTTAGTTACTGTCGATCGATACCACAAATATAAGACGGAGGTAAGTCAAGACAGTTAAGCCGAAGGTCGATAGAACCGATCTTCTAACCGAACCGAACGAAGATAAATAAACGAAGAAGAACTGAGATAACTCAGATAATGATAGAACTATAGCACAGTTATACTCGATCGATCAGACTCTTGATAACACGGGGTGAAGCCGCTGGATGGAGCCTTGCACGCAAACTCATCTTCATGAACGCAAACTCATATTCACGCACCCAGGCCCGGTCCAGCACACTCCCCCTAAAGCTTCTTACGAGGAGCTTTACTAACCTCCTCAATCTGCTCCAGAACTCTCTTCTTTCCCCGGGTCAACATACCCGGACCTGACTTCGACATCGCCTTCACAGTATCCCTCCAACGGCGTAGATCCTTCCTGTCAATCTTTACGGATCCCCAATCTCCCGTCTGCTTCGGCTCTGTCTGCACTGCCGTGGTGGACTGTTTGGGCTCCTCATCAACCTCATCAATCTTCTCCCGACGGCAGCTTCGCTTCAGCTGATTAACTGCCGCCGTAGTTACCGACCCATCCGCGAGCCTTACTAGCTCAATAGTCGAACCTCTCACCGCCTCCACTCGATATGGCCCTGTATACAAATCGGTTAATTTATCGACCCCGTAATTCCGGCGATAGACTATATCATTCACCGCCACCGGACTCCCACCTACAGGATCCCGCCGATCTGCTAGTCGTCGACGAACTTCAGCCTTCCGAGCCAACCACAATCGTCTCAACGACTCAACCGACTTACCGTATTGGGCTCGATAATAATCTGAGATCCCCTGAAGGCCCTCTGTGAGGTCATCAAATTCCAACCCAGAACCAAGCCACTGACATACCTCTTCTCGACCAAGACGATCATTGTAGAGAGTGCAGGCATCGGCCGTCGAGCGATGCACCGCCCATGGGGCTAGATCGCTACTATCATCATATGGGATAGCGTTGTGAACGAACGTACACAAAGCTAATCGCTGCCGCACTTGATTGATCGAATCCATAGCCTGACCTTCGCTAACCATAGCCCTTAAAGTCACCGTAAGCTCCTTGTGGCTTCGTTCATACCAACCTCGTCGCTCTTCATCATAGGCCTCCGTGACACAGTGAACAACACTCCTGCTGGCTAGATACTCTCTGAATCTCTTGGAGACAAAGTACTGGGCCTGGTCAGTGACACACACGCGGAACACGCCGTTCTCGGCCATAATTTCACTGACACCAGTCACAATGTCTTCTGCCGAACAGCTCGTTAACACCTTCGTAACCAAGAAGTGGCTGATGTAATCGGAGCAAGTTAATACCCAGACCTTCTCTTCGTTATCACCATTGGAACCGAGCCGAATCGGACCCCAAACATCTAAGCCAGCTATACCCCACACCAGAGGTACGAAATCTCTAACACTCGGTAAACACTTGTTCAAGAGACGACCTTCCTTGGCTCGACAGCAAGCATCACAGCTCAGGACAAATGACCTCACTCTCTGGTGGATACCTTTCCACCAACAGAATTTACGGATCAACCTCACAGTCCTCCCTATCCCAGGGTGGAGGAAAGTGTGGTGGAACTTATGAACAACCTCTAACTGGAGATCACGACGGTTGGCCGGGATGTACACAATCCACTCAACTTCCTTCTCAGAGGCATCCCATCGTCTACATAGCAGCATACCCGTCTTCTCCTCCAGGCGATAGTGTGTAGAGTATTTTCCTTTCGAATTCGCTCGTAACTCAGAGCTAACCAACACACAGAAGTCGTCACTTAATTGAGCCTTCCCCACTCTATCCGCGAATACTTCAAACCAATCTCGCTCTACATCCTCCTTCTGGCCAACGAGACACTCACACTGCTCTCCCGATAACTCCTCTTGGCCTTCACCCTCGCTCGTCTCTCCCTCGGAGGCCATCTCATCGGGACCATCCGAAGTAGCTATGACTGATCTATCAAAGGAGACAATCGAGTCAGCTCAACAACTTGAATTACTGTCCCACGAAGGGGAATCATCTCTCAATGTGTGCCAAGCGGTCTCGTCACCGATCAGAAACATGTATGAGAAGGGATATGACGAAATTGCAAATCAATATTAGGACTGCATTCAATAATATCAGAACATGTAGACTTAATTGCGAGTAATCTAGTAAGCTCTGGCTTAGGTAATCGTGAGCACATCTTCTGGCCGTGGCCAGACAAGACCGCTCTCAAACGGAATAATGTAATACTACTATCACCGAGGATGACAGACCTCGTGACTCTGGACCTCAATGCCATAACAATGCTATACAACTGCTCAACACCGAGGCGCATTGCTTCCAATTCTCTCCTGGGAATCGTGCCTCCCGGAGTCACACTGAACTTAGCAGAGAGACGAGCACCCGAACCGACTCGAATATCAATAGCAATGCAGGCCTCAGAGGCATCGACGAAGACGAATAAAGTAGACACATCAAGATAGCGAGGGGGGAGGATACGATCAGATTGCAGGAAAGAATTACATGCAGTAATGGTACTCAATATAATAGATGCCGTCTCCTCGTCCAGAATGTCCGTACCATCTTCGAAGTCCTTCCTCCTCTGCTTCAGTCGCTCATGAGCCAACCGAGCCGCCCATCTGAGCTCCAAGGACACTTCTGCGAAAAGACCCATGGGGTCGAAGAACTTGCCAAATGCTGATCTCAGGGCAGACTCCGTGACCTTGGATTCCTTCGCCAGTTCTATCTGCCGCAGCCGCACATCGATAACATCAATTCGCTCGCCACAGAGCCAGTCGTAACCGAGCCAACCTCCTGTTCTGAACTTCTCACTGAGAATCTTCTCCTTAGATACCCCTCGACCTATACAGTCTTCACCCGTGTCGAGATTGGACATTCGCTTGTCCTGGTGGACTTCGAACCCCCGCTCTTCTAATGCAGGAACCACCTCCCGACGAATCTTCGACACCTCCGAGCAACTGTCCCCTCGCAGAAGGACATCGTCGACATAGAAGGAGATAGCTTCGGCACCGCCCGTCCCCCCGATCTGTTTGAGGATCTTTCCCAAGACCGAGGAGTGGGCCCAAGGGGACCAATTCGTCCCGAAAGGGACATGGATCCACCTTATGATCCTCGACCCGACGCACATCCCCAACCACTTCACATCCGATTTATCGATGTGGACCGACCAGAAGGCCTTCTTGAGATCCTCACAATCAACTCGCTTGGACGCTCGCCACTCTAGAATCCGTGACTGTAGGTCCATGTCCGCGGCCTCCTCGTCTCCTTCTTTATTCGTGAAGTTGTTAAGCTCTCGAGCGTCGATACAAATACGACAGCGAGTGGACTTTCGCTGATTGGCGAAAACCGGAACCCCACACATATAGTGGTAAGCCCATTTCCTCGGGTCCTCCCCCAGTGGGAGTTCCTCGACCGCCCCGGACTTCAAGAGCTCGTCCACGGCCGCTTCATACGCTGCTAGCTCTTCAGGTCTCTTGGCCAGCCTCTGTGTGATCTTCAAGTCTCGGCCTCTGATGGCATCATAATTCTGCTTGGGTCTACGATCATCAATCCAAGGGACCTTCACGACTGCTGGCCACACTCTTCGTGTCGGGAGAGATCGGCTTCTCTCGACTGTATTAGCGCCTATCTCCCTCGCCTCCCGCACTCCCCCGTGAGGGGTGACCTCAGGCTCATCAAAGAGTAGGTAGTCGTTACCCGCCATCACCCAAACACAGTTACCCAGCACCCATCGGGGTAGAACCAGCTCCCAGTGAGCAGAGTCTAAGACGTAGGCCTCGACTATCCTAGTTTGATCACCGAACCCAACGGCCAGAGCCTCCAGCACCCCCTGGATCTTCACTGCTCCTCCATCGAGCAACTTCACCGATATGTCACCCTGCTTCAACTCCAGGCCTGGCGACTGTGCCTTCAACCGACGGTATAAAGTACTGGACACGAACACGTCTGTCGCTCCTGTGTCCAGGAGCGCAACCGTAGTGACCCTGCCTTGAAGACTTACTGCCACGGTCGGCAACCCATTGGCCGTGTATGTGACAGCCAATCGCTTCGACGTAGGTTCCCTGACCTTCGGGCCCTCTCGAAGCCTAGACCTGCAGCTCTCGATGTTCTCAACCTCAATATCGCCGTAGGATTTCTCGACGTTCTCGGTGTTGCTCTCGAAGCCCTTTCTCTCGAAGTTCTCGATGTTGCTCTCGAAGCCCTTACTCTCGAAGTTCTCAATGTTGCTCTCGAAGCTCTTACTCTCGAAGTTCTCAATGTTGCTCTCGAAGCTCTTACTCTCGAAGTTCTCAATGTTGCTCTCGAAGCTCTTACTCTCGAAGTTCTCAATGTTGCTCTCGAAGCTCTTACTCTCGAAGTTCTCAATGTTGCTCTCGAAGCTCTTAGCCTCAGCGGACTCGACACCCTTGCTGGTCTGGCATAACGCCACAATATCCGGTACGATTCGCTCTTGACACTGTTGACTCGATAGTCTCTCCTCCAAAGAGGTATTCGCCCAATGGCTATCATCAAGAACG